AGAGCCCCTTTCATTTGCCAGAGGAGAACCTTCCAGGCTCCTAGTTTGGGGCGCAGAAAGCGCCCGGATCTCTCCTTGCTCTTGACCTGAGCGTCCGTCTCTTTGCTCTCCCCTCTCCGGCCAGGAGGTCCCTACGGGGCTGTCGGGGTGGACCTGGCCTTCGAGAAGCTGCTCTGCCAGATATTTGGGGAAGACTTCATCGCCACCTTCAAGGCCAAGCGCCCGGCGGCCTGGGTTGACCTGACCATCGCTTTCGAGGCCCGGAAGCGGACGGCCGCCCCCCACCGGGCCAACCCGCTCAACATCTCCCTCCCCTTCTCCTTCATCGACTTCTACCGCAAGCACCGAGGGCAGAACGTGGAGACCGCCCTGAAACGCAGCAGGTGGGGGAGAACCAGGGGGGGCATGGGGGCTGGGAGGGAGAGACAGACACAGACAGAGAGAGGGAGGGGCAGGGGAGATGATAGATAGATAGATAGATAGATAGATAGATAGATAGATAGATAGATAGATAGATAGATAGATAGATAGATAGATAGATAGATATGGAAGGATAGAGAGAGGGGGGAGATGATAGATAGATAGATAGATAGATAGATAGATAGATAGATAGATAGATAGATAGATAGATAGATAGATAGAAAGATAGATAGATAGATAGATAGATAGATAGATAGATAGATAGATAGATAGATAGATAGATAGATAGAAGATAGACAGACAGAGACAGAGAGAGATGATGGTAGATAAATAGATAAACAGACAGACAGATAGAAGATAGATACAGTGTAGATAGAAGATAGATATGATAGACAGATAGAAAATAGAGATAGATAGATAGATAGATAGATAGATAGATAGATAGATAGATAGATAGATAGATAGATAGATAGATAGATAGATAGATAGACAGAGACAGAGACAGAGACAGAGACAGAGACAGAGACAGAGAGACCGACCTACGGAATCGGAGCCGTGAAGAAACAGCAGAGCTCACTAGTTTGCATGTTTGTGTTTGTGTGTGTGTGTGTGTATATATATGACTGAGTGAGTGTGGGGAGCTAACTTTGGACCCTCGGACTGCTAGGCCACTGACGGGTTCAAGACCATCACCACCATCTTCCCCTCTGCAGTTCCCCTCAGTCCAGGATGTTACATGCTAACATGAAATAAAACGAGAGACCCTCCCCTTCTCAGCCTTCTGTCTCCCCCCTTGCCTTCCCAGCATGCACTTGGTGAAGTGGTCCTCTCAAGGGATGCTGCGCATGTCTCCCGAGGCCATGAACGATCTCTTCCAGCCCACCGTCAGCCAGATCATCCGGCACATTGGTGAGTCCTCCGGGCCTCCCCTGCTGGGCCTGGGAGGTTGACTCCCACTTCTCTGTTGCAGCCCCTCGAATCCTGGAAGATGGCTACCATGTCTCCCTTGATCCTAGAGTAGACCTACCCAATTCCTGCAACCGTTCTTCATACTCAAGGGCAGAAGTCATCCCATGAGCTAAATCAGAGGTCTCCAACCTTTCTCTGTTGGCAGACCGGACGGAAAGGGAGGGGGAAGCATTTTACATGCATGCGCGCACACATGAACAGGGCCACGAGCACACGCAACACTCGCTAGCACTGCCCGTTTTTGCCACATGGCAGAGCCCCGCTTTTGACGGCCGGTGCCATTTTTGCTACGACAGCAGCGCTAGCGCGAGTGGGAGTGCTGCCACACACGTGCGCACACTGGCCAGCCTGTTCCGTGGCCCGGTGGCCAAGAGGCCACAGCCCAGTAGTGGACCGCGGCCCAGAGGTTGGAGTACCCTAAGCTAAATTACAAAGAAACAGACTCTTTGTATCTCTCTCCTCACGTCCCATCCTGGGCAAATGTCCAGCTTTGCCCCTCAGTTGGACCCAGGCGATCTTCTCCCTTCCTTTCTTCTCCTCCCCATCCCGACTTCTCCTTCCTTCCTTCCTTCCTTCCTTCCTTCCTTCCTTCAGACGACCTCATGAAGAAGCCCGAAGTGAAAGGCATCAAGTTCCTCTTCCTGGTGGGCGGATTCGCCGAGTCAGCCATTTTGCAGCACGCCGTCCAGTCCTCCTTCAGCAGCTCCTGCCGGGTCATCATCCCTCAGGACGTGGGCCTGACCATCCTGAAAGGGGCGGTGCTCTTCGGCCTCGACCCCACCATCGTCCGGGTGAGGCGCTCGCCCTTGACCTATGGCGTGGGGGTCCTGAACAAGTTTGTGGAGGGGAAACACCCCAAGGAGAAGCTGATGGTCAAGGACGGGAAGAACTGGTGCACCGACGTCTTTGAGAAGTTCGTCTCGGTGGACCAGTCGGTGGCCTTGGGCGAAGTGGTGCAGAGGAGCTACTGCCCAGCCCGGGTAGGTCAACGCAAGATCATCATCAACATCTACTGCTGCGCCACCGACGAGGCCGTCTACATCACCGATCCGGGGGTGAGGAAGTGTGGAACCATCAGTCTAGAATTGGAGGAACTGGACGAGTCCAACTCGCCCAAGAAAAACCGGCGGGAGATACGGGCCAGCATGCAGTTTGGCGATACGGAGATCAAGGTGGCAGCCATGGACGTGTGGACCTCCAAGACCGTGCGGGCGTCCATCGACTTCCTCTCCAACTGAGGTCCAGAAGGAGGAGGACTCTGGACTGGCAGAAGAGCCGAGGTGAGGCACCCGTTCTTCTGGGTGAAGTGAGCCACTTGGTGGAGTGGTGGACTCAACTTTTATGGATTCAGTCCAACCATTGGCCAGGTTTTTTTGGGGGGGGGAGTGGGGGGTCCTGAACCTGTCCAAAAATAGCAAGCTGGAACTTATGACAGCCAACGGACAAATGTTGGGATGAATGGGGTTCAAAGTGGGGAATAACAGCTGATCGTTGCCTTGGAACCTAGCTAATCTCTAAAGCAGGGGTCTTCAAACTTGGCCCTTTGATGACTTGTGGACTTCAACTCCCAGAATTCCTCAGCCAGGCACGCGTGCCTGGCTGAGGAATTCTGGGAGTTGAAGTCCACAAGTCATCAAAGGGCCAAGTTTGAAGACCCCTGCTTTGAAGCTCTGGAGAACATCTGAGAACATCTCCCAAGGGGTTCTCCAAGCTGTCATCTGGAACCAGCGGTCTTGGGCATCCTCGGGAGACCAATTATGGGTTTTGGAGCACTAAGTATGTCTATAAAAATGGACGTTCCGATGTAATGACGCATTCTGCCTTCTACTACTTGAGGAGACCTCTTAGCCAGACGGGCGTCAAAAAATATATATACCCATAATGAACGAGGCAAAGTTTCATAGGGAAAACCCAGTTCCACAACTTAACGACAGTTACTCCTTGATTTGCAACTATTCATTTAGCGACCGTCCCAAGTGACGAGGGCACTGAAAAAAGTGACTTAGGATCGGTTTTCACCCTTAACAACCAGTGCAGCATCCCGTGATCAAAACTCGGGACGCTTGGCAACTGGTTCATATTTATGACGGTCGCAGCGTCCCGGGGTCAGGTGATCCCTTCTTGAGACTTTCCGACAAGCAAAGTCAAGGGGGGAAGCCAATTCTTATTCCTCTCCTCTTCCTCTCCACAAACCCCCCTCCCTTCTAGCACTGATGATGTTACCCAGTTGGGCCATGAAACATCTGCAAGGAAACCAGCCAGCTCAGAGAGCACTAAGGGCCCCACTGTTGTTCTTCTTCCTCCTCTTCTTTTCTTCCTTCTTCTTTTCTCCTCTTCTTCCTTCTTCCTTTTTTTCTCTTCTCCTTTTTTCTCCTTCTTCTTCCTTCTCTTCTCCTTCTTCCTCTTCCTCTTCCTCCTCCTCCTCCTCCTCCTCCTCCTCTTCTTCTTCTTCTTCTTCTTCTTCTTCTTCTTCTTCTTCTTCTTCTTCTTCTTCTTCTTCTTCTTCTTCTTCTTCTTCTTCTTCTTCTTCTTCTTCTTCTTCTTCTTCTTCTTCTTCTTCTTCTTCTTCTTTCTCCTCCTCCAATGCCCTCCCTTCTAGCACTGATAATCTTACCTAGTTGGGTCATGAAATGCTTGCAAGAAAATCACCAAGCGTAGAGTACCAAGGACCCCACAGTCCTCTTCCTCCTCCCCCTCCTCCTCTCTGCAAACTCCCTTCTAGCACTGATGAAGTTACCTAGTTGGGTCATGAAACGTCTGCAAGGAAACCACCCAGCTCAGAGAGCACTAAGGACCCCACAGTTGTTGTTGTCATCTTCTTCGTCCTCCTCCTCTCCCCACTCCCTTCTAGCACTGATGTTACCTAGTTGGGTAATGAAATGTCTGCAAAAAGATCACCCAACTCAGAAAGCACCAAGGACCCCATAGTTCTTTTCCTCCTCCTCCTCCTCTCCTTCCACTCCGCAACCCCTCCTCCCTTCTAACACTGATGATGTCACCTAGTTGGGCCACAAAACGTCTGCAAGAAAACCACCCAACTCAGAGACCATCAAGGACCGCACAGTCCTCCTCTTCCTCCCTTTTCTTCTTCCTTCTCATCCTTCCCTTCCTCCTCCTCCATTCTAGCACCGATGATGTTACCTAGTTTGGTAATGAAATGTCTGCAAGGAAACCACCAAACTCAGGGCACCAAGGACCCCACAGTCCTCCTCTTCCTCCTGCTCCTGCTCGCAAACCGCCCTCCCTTCTAGCACTGATGATGTTACCCAGCTGGGTGATGAAATGTCTGCAAGAAAACCCCCCAGCTCAGAGAGCACCAGGGACCCCAGAGGACCCCTCCACCCAAAGGGGAAGCTGGCCCAAGGGCTTTAGGTTTGCCTCCCAACTACAAACACATAAGCTCGGTGGTCCTCAGAAAAAAAGCGGCAAGAAACGTGTGTGTGTGTGTGTGTGTTTAATGCAACCAGAAACTTAAGTCTTCAGATTGAACCAGGGAAGCAAACAGAATGGAGAAAAATTCCTTATGAAGGAAGAAAAGAACAAGGATGAGTCTTCACATCAGAAGTCAAAACTACTTTTCTTTTTTTCTTTCTTTCTTTCTTTCTCTTCCTTCCTTCCTTTTTCTTTCCTTTCTCCCCTCCTCACCAGAGATCAGAAGAACAGAGGTAGCTTATTTTTTCAACTGAAATTTATTATCTTTTTTTCAGAGAATGTTTGCTTAAAAAAACGACAACAACAAAGACACCCCAAACACAGGTTTTCTTATAGGGGTGTGTGTGTGTGCATGTGGGTGTTTTATACATAGGCACATAAAACCCATTGGTTTCTTCCACGAAGCCCACCACATCCCTGCTGTGTACCCCACGAGCTTTTTCACAAAGAGGGAGCTTATACTGGGGAGGGGGTGCAAGGGGCGGGCAAGGGGGCTGGCTGGGGAATTCTGGGAGTTGAAGTCCAGCCCTCTTAAAGTCCCCACGCTCGAGAAACGCTGCCCTAGATAACTCAAGGAATGGGACTTTGCGCTCCAGGGGTGACATTTCCACGGAGAAACCAAAAACCACCTAACTGCAAAAAAAAATCTTCCCTTGCATTATCTCCTAAACCAGTGTTTCTCAAACCTTGACAATTTTAAGGCATGTGGACTTCAACTCCCAGAATTCCACAGCCAGCATTGCTGGCTGTGGAATTCTGGGAGTTGAAGTCCACATGCCTTAAAATTGTCAAGGTTGAGAAACACTGTAAAACAGCAACACAACAGTTTGCCTTTTGAAGGGGAAAAAAAAACCACCTTCCTAGGCCAACCGAACTCGGAAGGAGGGGCGTGGTGGGAGGGGAAGGGGTTGCATCGCAACGGGGCCACGGCGACACCGATCCTTGTAGCCAAGGGGGAAACTGAGGGAGTCTGGTTCAAATGAAATGGGGGAATCTTTGCAAAAAGCTGAGAAGGCTTGGGGGGGGGTGTTTCTTCCTGAGTGGGGTTTCAGAAGAGGGAGGACGGGGGGGGGGGGAAAGAGGGGGACCCCCAACCCCAGAAAACCAGATTGTCTGCAGGGGTCCCCAGGAATTGTCAGTCTCACACTTAACCTAAAAGCCTCTTAAAACACAGAGTTTGCAACAATGATAAAACCTTTGCAGCCTTTTAGCACTAAACAGCTGTTTTGGGGCAGCAGCCAGGAGTAGCTAACCCAACTTCAGCAAAAACAACCCATAATTTCTTACCCCACCGTCCAAAACAGCTTTTCAGGGCACCTTCCAACAAGCTAAAAGAAGCTTTGGTTTTTTTTTAAACAGCAGCATCCTCTAAAACAGGAGTCCCCAACCTATGGTCCACAGCCCAGTACCGGGCCGCGGCCTGTTCGCCACCGGACCCCGCCCCATTCGCGGTGGCACTGCTGCATGGGCACCAGCGACCCCATTTGCGGGCACCGGCGGCCCGTTTGCGTGTGCATGCGCACACCAGCACTGCTGTTGTGCGTGCGCCCATTTGTGCATGCGTGCATGGAGTCGCGTGTGTACACATTTCCCTTCCGGAAAGGTTGGGAAACGCTGCTCTAAAGGATCTATCGCAACTCGCCCTGGCCCACTCACTGCAGCCAACTTGCGACACGCAACTGACCAGGGAGCCATTTCGGCACGGCCAGCTCGGCACGGCCAGCAGACTTATGCGCTGTTATTAAAGAAATAAACAGAATCGTTCAAGAAAGGATGGCCGGAGGAGGGACAACGTAAAAGGTGAATGAGAAAAATTAAAATCATCTCTAAAACTATTTTTTAAAAAATAAAGTGAATTCTGGAATTGTTCCGTGGCGAGTTGGCTTCGACGAGTTGCCCAATCCCGCCTCTAAACCAGCGGTCCCCAACCTTTCCCGGAACGGCAGGAGGGGGAGATGGTTCCGTGCGAGCGGCAGGTGCACGCATGAACACGGGTGTTTCTGCAAGCAGCGGGTGCGTGCAGCTGCCGCTCACGCAAATGGAGCTGCGTATGAGCACGCGCTCGCCCGCTGCTTGCATGGCTCGGTTCCGAACAGGCCGCAGTCCGGGGGTTGCGGACCCCTGCTCTAAACGGTAAAACATCCGGTCAGCTGGCTTTTCCCTCCGTTTTGCAAACCACACAGTTGCAGAAAACCCTAAAATTCGAAACAAAAAACAGCACGGCTGAATTCAAGGAGCGTTACGGCCGTCGGACGGGGCTCGCTCTGAGCCGCACCACCCACGGAACGGAGGTTGCAGAACTGGATCCGCGCTCCTGAGCGTCCAAAGCATGACCTACAAGAGGTTTAATTGTAGATGTAACGGTGGGGGGGTGGTAGACAGGAGAAAAGCTCAGCCCCACAAGACGAGCGCCATCGGACCGGCACATCACAAGAGCACTTGAACCTGGCAGCCAGCGGGCAGCGAAGATGGCGTTATTTTTTTATTTCAAGCTTAACCGGAAAATATATATATATATGTGTGTGTATATATATATTTATATATATATCTATATAGGTAGAGAACCCCGGGAAGGTGCTGGAGTCTGCAGTAGGAAGAGGGCGCATCCTGGTTAGTCAAAGCCCTGCCACTCGCTTTGCTCCGAGTCGTATTCCACTTCGGCTCCGATGCACTTCACGCCTTCCAGGAGCATCGGTGTGCCATGGTGTCGGTCTGCAAGACAAGGGAACAGCGCATGTGTGAAGTGGAGGGGAAACGGGCAGAGAACCGTGTGTGTGTGTGTGTGTGTGTGAGGCCAGTGCAGCTGGCAAGCCGGGGCAGAGACCTACTTCTGCTCAACGAGATCTCTTCTCTGCAAGCATCCCCAGGTGGACAGCCCCCGGGTTGTGGACCGGAACCAGGCCGCGGCATGCCAGCAACCGGAATGCACAAACAAGGAAAGCCCCATCCACGGGATGCAGGCAGCACACGAAACCACGCCCCCCTTCGGTCCATGGGAAAACCTCTTTCCACGGAACCGGTCCCTGGTGCCCAAAAGATTGGGGGTGGCTGTTTTATGGTGTGCCTTAAAGCTTAACCACGCCCCAGTGCCTTGTCTCCTGTCTGTATCCATATCAGGATAGAGCTGGAAGGGACCTTGGAGGTCTTCTAGTCCAGCCCCCTGCTCAAGCAGGAGACCCTATACCAGAGGTAGGCAACCTTGGCTCTTTTGTGACTCGTGGACGTCAACTCCCAAAATTCCTGAGCCAGCCATGCTGAGGGGAAAGGGAGAGGTTTCCAAGCTCAGCCATGCTGGCTCAGGAATTCTGGGAGTTGAAGTCCACGAGTCATGAAGGGAGCCATAGTTTCCCCATGCCGGCTCAGGAATTCTAGGAGTTGAAGTCCACGAGTCATAAAAGAGCCAAGGTTGCCTACCCCTGCTATATCCCATTTGAGACAAGTGGCTGTCCAGTCTCTTCTTAAAAGCCCCCAGTGATGGAGCACCCACAACTTCTGGAGGAAACCGTTCTGCTGATTATTTGTCCCGTCAGGAAAGTTCTAGATTGCTTCTCTCCTTGATGGGTTTCTATCCGTTGCTTCTTGTCCTGCCTTCAGGGGCTTTGGACAATAAGTGGACCCCCTCCTCTTCTTTGTGGCAGCCCCTCAAATACTGGACTACTCCTATCATGTCCCCCCCCCCCGGTCCTTTCTTTTCTCTAGACTGGCCATACCCAAGTCCTGCAGACGTTCTTCGTATGTTTTACTCTCCAGGCCTTTGATCGTCCTAGTTGCTCTTCTCTGCACTCTTTGCAGAGTCTCAACATCTCCTTTTAAGCTTGACATTGAGGGCTTCAGATCGCATCACCTTCAGCTTGGCAGATTAATTCAACCCCAGAGATGTGTTCAAAGACACCCGCAGGCCGAGTTTAATTTCCTGGGCATTGTCGCCTCTTGGCGACAACAGGATATTAAACCAGGCCCTTCGGAGGCGCAGAGAGGCAGGAAAGTGAAGGGAGGGAGGGAGGGAGGGGAGGGGATGCCCAACCTGGGTGCAAGAACAGGCAGACCCTTACCCATCACCCGGGCTTGCACGACGACTTTGATGCTGGCACTCTGGTTAGTCTCGCTGCAAAGGACCATCTCTTCGTGCAGGACGCCTTCCTTGTGGGCCACGTACTCGCAACTGACCCTGTAGCCTGGGAGACAAAGAGAGGGCGACCCCCTCCCATCAAAGGACCCTCCAAAGAGCAACTGGGGGAACTCGGAGAGGCAGGAGTTGCAAAATGCCCCCTCCCCCCCAAAAAAGTCTTTAAAAGGAGAAAGAGAAGCGCAGAAGAGGGAAAAATGTTACGAGACGACTGTCAGGAGGGAAAGGCCACGTCCAGCTGTGAAGGTTCAATGGAAGGGTTTTTTGTTGCTTAAAGCCTCTGTGCAGGAATCTTCCCAACTCATGTTAACATGTGCTAAGAGAAAGATAAGGGTCCACAGAATTCTGGGGTGTGTGTGTATTGAACTTAATTCGCTTGTGGCTACGTAGGGATTCTAGGCTGACTCCACTTTTGACTCCACCCCCCTGGATTCTGATCCCTTATCTTCCTTCCTTCCTTCCTTCCCCTCCCTCCTTCCCTTGTTCCTCTCATTCCCATCTTGTCAAGCGTGAAGGACCAATTAAACTGATTTATTGTTTAAAGCCTCTGCCCAGGAAACCTCTCAACTCATGTTAACACAGGTTAAGAGTAAGATAAGGGCCAACAGAATTGGGGAGGGGGGACTTAATTCACTTGTGGCTATGTAGGGATTCCAGAGGCAAGTCATTCCACTGGTTACTTGTCCTCACTCTTAGGAAGTTTCTCCTTAGTTCCAGGTTGCTTCTCTCCTTGATTGGTTTCCATCCGTTGCTTCTTGTCCTGCCTTCAGGCGCCTTGGAGAAGAGCTTGACTCCCTCTTCTTTGGGGCAGCCCCTGAGATACTGGAAGGCTGCTATTATGTCTCCCCTGGTCCTTTTTTCATTAGACTAGGCCAGGGGTAGGCAACCTTGGCTCTTTTATGACTGGTGGACTTCAACTCCCAGAATTCCTGAGCCAGCCATGCTGAGGGGAAAGGGAGAGGTTTCCAAGCTGAGCCATGCTGGCTCAGGAATTCTGGAAGTTGAAGTCCACGAGTCATGAGGGGGCCTAGGCCTAGGCCAGAGATAGGCAACCTTGGCTCTTTTATGACTGGTGGACTTCAACTCCCAGAATTCCTGAGCTAGCCATGCTGAGGGGAAAGAGAGGTTTCCAAGCTGAGCTATGCTGGCTCAGGAATTCTGGGAGTTGAAGTCCACCAGTCATGAGGGGGCCATAGTTCTCCCATGCTGGCTCAGGAATTCTGGGAGTTGAAGTCCACCAGTCATGAGGGGGCCATAGTTCTCCCATGCTGGCTCAGGAATTCTGGGAGTTGAAGTCCACCAGTCATAAAAGAGCCAAGACTTACCGGCCTAATCTTACCCAATTCCTGCAAACATTCTTCATATGTTTTGGCCTCCAATCCCCTGATCTTCTTTGTTGCTCTTCTCTGCACTCTTTCCAGAGTCTCAACATCTTTTTTTTTTAACATCGTGGCGACCAAAACGGGATGCAGGATTCCAAGTCTGGCCTTACCCAGGCGTTATAAAGCGGAATGAACGCTTTCTTCTCCAAAAGCCGAGAGAACGTACCTTCAGATACCGGGGCGATGTTGGTCACCTTGAGATGCAGGTTCGAGAGGGGTGCCGGGCAAATGTCCTTCCCCAGGACCTGCACAAAAGGCAGGACGAACGTGATTTCGTATTTGTGCAGGACCTTGAGGAAGCCGACCTGATGGGAGAAGCAAAATCAGATCCCAGGCCAGGATTTGACGGCGGACAAGTGATCAAGAAAAGGCAGAGGATTCTTAAAGCGAAACATAAAAGATCAAATAATCAAAGGAGGATGAAAAACCTGGCAAATAAATCAGACAGACAATTAAAAAAAGGGGGAAAAAATAGTTCAGCCCAGCCCCTTTTTTTGCATACAATTCCATCTTTTGCTCCACGGTTTTCTGCCCCCCCCCTGAATTTAGCAACCCCTTATTATTATTATTATTATTATTATTATTATTATTATTATTATTATTATTATTATTTATTGGATTTATATACCGCCCTATCTCCCTTACGGGACTCAGGGCGGTGAACAGGCGATAATAAAAACCACGATAAATATACACAAGTGGTTTCTTAGCTGAGCTGAGTCACGCAGAGAGAAGAGGCATCCGTGCACAAGTCTTTTCTTGTATTTATTCCACTTTTATCTAGCTGCCTCTCTCGGCTTCTCGTAAAAGATTACTGGGCGACACGCAGCCTGCAGAATAAGCCAGAGAGGGGGGGGAAAAAATCCTCCGGGGAGAACATGAGGTTCTCTCTCTAGAATATTTCCAGGAATCATCGGAAGGTAAAATATTTCAGAAAATGTCAGAAAACAGCCACTGCAAGAAGCCCAGGGGTCTCCAACCTTGGCCACTTTAAGACTTGTGGACTTCAACTCCCAGAATTCCTCAGCCAGCATGGGGGAACTATGGCCCCTTCATGACTCGCGGACTTCAACTCCCAGAATTCCTGAGCCAGCCATGCTGAGGGGAAAGGGAGAGGTTTCCAAGCTGAGCCATGCTGGCTCAGGAATTCTGGGAGTTGAAGTCCACCAGTCACGAAGGGGCCTAGGCCTAGGCCAGGGGTAGGCAACCTCGGCTCTTTTACGACTCATGGACTTCAACTCCCAGAATTCCTGAGCCAGCCATGCTGAGGGGAAAGGGAGAAGTTTCCAAGCTGAGCCAGGCTGGCTCAGGAATTCTGGGAGTTGAAGTCCACGAGTCATGAAGGGGCCAAAGTTTTCCCTATGCTGGCTGAGGAATTCTGGGAGTTGAAGTCCACGAGTCATGAGGGGGCCTAGGCCAGAGGTAGGCCACCTTGGCTCTTTTATGACTCGTGGACTTCAACTCCCAGAATTCCTGAGCCAGCCACGCTGAGGGGAAAGGTTTCCAAGCTGAGCCATGCTGGCTCAGGAATTCTGGGAGTTGAAGTCCACGAGTCATGAGGGGGCCTAGGCCCTAGGCCCTAGGCCAGGGGTAGGCAACCTTGGCTCTTTTATGACTGGTGGACTGTAACTCCCAGAATTCCTGAGCCAGCATGGCTCAGCTTGGAAACCTCTCCCTTTCCCCTCAGCATGGCTGGCTCAGGAATTCTGGGAGTTGAAGTCCACAAGTCTTAAAGTGGCCATGGTTGGGGACCTCTACTGTAAGGCAGCGTTTCTCAACCTGGACCACTTTTAAGTCATGTGGACTTCAACTCCCAGAATCCCCCAGCCAGCCAATTCTGGTCATTAAGTAGAGGACTGCCTGTATGCCAAAGAAGACTTCCATCATCCAGGCCAAAGGTGTCTTAAAAGGTTGAATCACGGCCACTGGACCAAACCTGGTTATAATCTGAGCGGCTTCTCTGGAAGGTGTTTGCGACTGTAAACGGAAATTGGACCTGACATCGTTGTAACCCTCATTCTGATGCTGCTTGGCCTCAGCGCGGATCAAATATTATAAATGCAGACACTTTCAAATCACTCAAGGACATCGACCCAGATGTGGCTTCTCTGTAATGTGTTTAATCCCATTACGGGCCCACGTCTACGCGGAGAAATACGGCTCTGGAAGGACTCAATTTTAAATGGGCTATTGTGTCATAAATCTATACTGGCAAAATTGAGCCGGCGGTGTTTTTTTTCTTCAAAATCCCACGAGGGAGACAGAGAAAATGAGAATTCAGTTACAGCGTGCTGTAATTCAGTTCCAGGCAACATCTGAAGTCAGCCCTGATCAATTTGTCTGATATTCTCGATCAACTCTGACAAAGAATTAAAATTTAAATTGGTTAACTTAGATCACTTTCCCCCAACACCCCTGTTTTAAGAGTAATCATTTTGAAGGACGGCTGCCAATTAATAGAATAGGATAGGATAATAGAAATAGAAATAGAAATAAGAATAGGAATGAAATAGAATAAAGAAATAATAGAATAGAATAAGGAATAGGAACGGAATAATAATAATAATAATAATAATAATAATAATAATAATAATAATAATAATAATAATAATAATAATAATAATAATAATAATAATAATAATAAAGTTGGAAGGGACCTATACTATAGGGTTTCCTGCCTGAGCAGGACTGGAGAAGATAACAAAATACAAAGACCTACAAATAGAAATAGAAAGACTGTGGCAAAAGCAAGCAAAGGTAGTACCAATAGTAATAGGTGCCTTGGGTGCAATCCCAAAACAACTGGAGCTCCACTTGGACACCATCATCGGCATTGACAAATTCGCCATCAGTCAATTGCAAAAGGCGGCCTTACTAGGAACGGCTTCCATCCTGCGACGAGATCTGTAATACCATCAAACATCCACATCTGCCTATCCCAGGTCCTTCGGAAGGACTCGATAGGTAGACAAAATGCCAAATCCAGTCTGAACATCTGGCTGACTGTGCAATGATCCATAATAATAATAATAATAATAATAATAATAATAATAATAATAATAATAATAATAATAATAATAATAAAGTTGGAAGGGACCTATACTATAAGGTTTCCTGCCTGAGTAAGGGGTTGGACTAGATGACCTCCACGGTCCCTTCCAACTTTTATTATTATTACTATTATTACTATTATTACTATTATTACTATTATTACTATTATTACTATTTTTACTATTTTTACTATTATTACTATTACTATTATTATTATTATTATTATTACTATTATTATAGGCTGGCTCAACAATCCTTCAATATTGTCCTCGACTCCACGCTGAGCATCACGCCACACACGGCGAAGAATTGTTCAAGCACAGAAATAAAAGCCCATTTTAGAAACGGCTGGCTAGCAACACAAGGCACTATAATGGGTTCCGGCAGGGCTGCGTTCATTAAATTACAAGGATTCTGCTTTGCAGAAAAAAAAAGGAAAGGAAGGAGGCCAAGAAAACAAGCCATTTATTCAGTCGGGAGAGAAAAACAGATTTTAAAAAAGAAAAAAAAAAGCCAGACACCTCGACAACTTTACTCTGCAAATCTCTTCCCTCCCTCCCTCAAGCACAAATTGGATGTCAAAGACCTGGAGACAGGAGGAAACGAAGGCTTGCAAGGTTCTACATTTAGGCAAGAAAAACCAATTGCACAAGTACAGCATAGGTGGCACCTTGCTCAATAGTAGTAACTGTGAGAGGGACCTCGGAGTCCTAGTGGACAATCACCTAAATATGAGCCAGCCGTGTGCGGCACCTGCCAAAAAGGCCAACACAGTGCTAGGCTGCATTAACAGAGGGATAGAATCAAGATCACGTGAAGTGTTAATACCACTTTACAAGGCCTTGGTAAGGCCACACTTGGAATACTGCATCCAGTTTTGGTCACCACGATGTAAAAAAGATGTTGAGACTCTAGAAAGAGTACAGAGAAGAGCAACAAAGATGATCAGGGGATTGGAGGCGAAAACATATAAGGAACGGTTGCTGGAATTGGGTAGGTCTAGTTTAACGAAGAGAAGGACGAGGGGGGACATGATAGCAGTCTTTCAATATCTCAGGGGCTGCCCCAAAGAAGAGGGAGTCAAGCTATTCTCCAAAGCCCCTGAAGGCAGGACAAGAAGCAACGGGTGGAAACTGATCAAGGAGAGAAGCAACCTAGAACTAAGGAGAAACTTCCTGACAGTGAGAACAATGAACCAGTGGAACAACCTGCCTCCAGAAGCGGTGAATGCTCCAACACTGGAAGTTTTTAAGAAGAGACTGGACAGCCATTTGTCCGAAATGGTATAGGGTTTCCTGCCTGAGCAGGGGGTTGGACTAGATGACCTTCAAGGTCCCTTCCAACTTTACTTTACTATTACTATTACTTGTCAACCAAAAGGCAGGCGTGCTTCAAAAACAATGTCGGAAATTTAGGAAAACCGACTAAGGGGTCCAGATGGATTTGGAAATAAAGATTGTGAACTTATTTACAAGAATCCGTCCCGTGGGAAAATGTGGTTCTGGATTCTTTTTAAAAAAAACACACCAACAACGTTGTAAAGATTTTGAAATCAATTCTTCCCATGGGAAAATTCTTTTGTTCGGGGGAAAAAAACATTTTTAAGATGGGACTTTGAAAGCTGGGTGTTTGATGGAACCGGAAACAACGATAAAGAATTTAAGTCAGGGAGAAGAACACTTGAACTCAACCCCATTAATACGGAATGGAGCAAAATGCTCTAATTTTGGATGCAACGAAGGCGACTGGGGAACGACGCACTCAGAAATTGCTTCTGAGACTGTCTGCTGTTATTGTAGACAATGTGGATTTGAAAAGAGGTTACGGAAGAGAAAGAAACTTAGCCCCAGATGGGGATTAGAAAGTGGATTTTAAAATGATAACCTAGATGAACGACATGGGAAAAGATGTTACATGGGATATACAAATGGAACTGCCCGATGTCTTCACAATTATAAGAGGGGTATACAAATCACAACACCAGAACTTAGATAGCTTTCTTATTTGGGGTCTACAGGAAGAGAACCGGCTGGGGAATTCTGGGAGTTGAAGTCCACCCATCTTTAAGACTCGTGGACTTCAACTCCCATAATCCCCCAGCCAGCCATGATTTAACGCAAGAGCGTCCAACCTTGGCCCCTTTAAGACTCGTGGACTTCAACTCCCATAATCCCCCAGCCAGCCATGATTTAACGCAAGGGCATCCAACCTTGGCCCCTTTAAGACTCGTGGACTTCATCTCCCAGAATCCCCCAGCCAGCCATGATTTAACGCAAGAACGTCCAACCTTGGCCCCTTTAAGACTTGTGGACTTCAACTCCCAGAATTCCCCAGCTATTATGGTCTAACGCAAGTGTGTCCAACCTTGGCCCCTTTAAGACTCGTGGACTTCAACTCCCAGAATTCCCCAGCTATTATGGTCTAATGCAAGGGCGTCCAACCTTGGCCCCTTTAAGACTCGTGGATTTCATCTCCCAGAATCCCCCAGCCAGCCATGATTTAACACAAGGGCGTCCAACCTTGGCCCCTTTAAGACTCGTGGACTTCAACTCCCAG